GCAAACATATAAGCTAACTAGATAAACAAGTGAAGTGAATGTTCCAGATATTCACACCCATAGCATCTATCAGGATAATCCAGTCACTTTGCATCATATTAAGCTGTTGATTTTCTTGTGCTCTCTGCATCTTAGAACATAAAATCCTGATCTGTGCTCAGTATTACATTACTAACCTTCAGTTTCTAGATCGTTCCTCTTCCCTCTCTAACACTTGCTCAAAGACTGCCTTATGCATCTTGTGCTTATCTGTGAGGAAAATGTGTGAAATGAGAGGGAAAAAAGCCTTTGCACATCATCATCACAATGCCTGCACCAATATTAGAGTGTGATGGCTCAGGAAACTCACAGTTTAAGTGGGCTATCATCAATCCATTGCCATTTTCTTTTTTTTGTCTCATATGATAATCCAGTCCAGTAACTGCTTGGATTAATTTGGAGCTGAAGGAACTTCTGTAAGGGAAAATAAACACATCTGATGATAAAATTTCCTTGTGCTTAGTGAGAAAAGAACCAATATAACAGGTCCCAGCTATTCTTATGTCAGTTCTCTGCTGTCCTGTCCTCCAGCTCTTCCATCCCTCCAAGTTCACTTTTAAAGTGATTTTCCATTAATAACTCATTTATGTCAAAGTTGATTCAATTTAGACAAGTTATTTAAAATGAAACCTTCAGGTGTCTAGAGATACTGAATTAATGGTATGATTTGTGACTGTGTTTCTCATGCTCTAAATGACAAAGTCTTCAAGCTGAACTGCAAGCATTTCTGTAACAAAATAGAGTCTTCATATTAGAAGAGATGTTATTAGTAACAATTTAAACAGAAAATGTCAGCATCTTGGCAGCTTTGTTTTGTTTTAATTACTCATTTCTAAAAGTAGACATCTTTTTAAAGAATATAAAAGTAGTATAAATAAAGATTTTGGACAGTGTCATTGAAAATAACCAAAGAGCTAACTGGTAAAACCATTTAATTTCACAGTTCTCATATAATCTCCATTTCTCAGTTTGGCCCAGAGGTCAGTTATTTTCCCTATTGTCATCCAACTACTCATCTCAGGCAGTCTCACTTCTGGGTTCCACGAGCAAGACCTAGACTGTGACCTTTCTGGCTGTAGTTAGCACTCTGTGGAGATACATAACTTTCAGTAACAGGATGCACTGTACTACTGGTTTAAACTTATTCAGTGAAAACATGTTTTTCTGGGGGACTCTCCTGTAGACCCCAGAGAAGGGGAGGAGATTGCAAAGACACAACTGTCTCTTCCTTAAGGAGTCTCCTCATAAGAGACCCTGTGTCCTGACTCTAAGCCAGGAGCAGGAGGGAGTTTCCTGGGAGACTCTTATTGCACAGGTTTGCTCATATTACCTGCAAATTATATACAATCAAAAAAATACCTAGATCAGTATTCCTCTATCTAAGGTTTAGACACAGAGTCTCAGAGAAGAAAATAAAGCAAGAGTCTACAATACCAGTTCATCATCATCATCTATCTTCAAAATGGAGAAGCTGCAATCCTGGCAGGTCTGTTGGCATCCTTTCCAGTTTTTCTTGTTCATAATGAAATAACATTTTATGCCACAGCAGAACCACTGTACTTCAACATGTTTGCCTACAACAGAGAAGAGGAATGGATAAACTTATTTTCTGGTTTACTGTTATCAGAACAGTGTACTTACTAAGCTTCCATAACTGAGTAAATTCTCATAGCTCTCAGAAGTTAAGATTCTAGAATGCTGAGAGACCCCTGTACAGCCTGTACAGTGTTGCTTGTAACAGTAGATATATAGAAACAGCTGGTGTGCCCATTGTGGATACATCAGTAGAAAAGAATGTAGCACATGTACACAAAGGAATACTGTGTATCCTGTAAAGGGAAGTAAATCAGCTGGGCATGATGGTGCGTGGATAACCTGAGCACCCCACAGAGTGAGAGCACCACCAGTTTGAGAACAGCCTAGACTAAGTAGTGACTTCTATACCAGCCCTGGCCATGAAGTAGATTCTAAAATAAACTGAGCTACAGAATGAAATCATGTCTCAAACCTCAACACCACCCAAAAGAGATGCTCAACTAAGTGACAAACATGGATGAACTTGAGGATGCTTTGCAAAGTGAAATTAGCCTGGTCTGGGACCACACTTTATGACTCAACTCAGATGAGGGTTCTAACACAGCCCACCCCTAAGCATCAGAGGTATGTGAGACACCAGAGCTGCAGTACAGTGAAAAAAGCACTTGCTGCACAGAGGCAGTTACAGGATCACGGAATTCTAGACCTGCAGCAATGCACTGTGCTCCCAGTTCATCCACAGATACTGCGCATATAAGGTTGTGCTACAGTCTGTGTTAGATGCTCTTGTCTTAAGAGAAATGAGAGACACGTGAGGGAGCCTTTGAAGGTGTTAGTCTGCTCTCCTGAGTATATTGATGCCTTCAATACTGTTCCCACATAGCCAAACATGTCAAGTTGAATAAATTAAAATGTGGGCATTTTTATAGCAATGATACCCCAATGTGATTATTTTGTTTAGTGAGGTGCTGGGGAAGACCTTGTCTATTTACAAATTTTATCTCCAACCTTTGTTTTTCTGTGAAGAGGTATCATTGTGTATCTCAGGCTGGCCTGGAATTTGCTGAGCTGTACAGATTGTCCTCAGAGTTATAATCCTCCTTTGCAACCTCCTAAGGACAGGGACTATAGCAATGTGCTACCATTTATAGATGATGAAGTTATTTTAAAATAATGACACAAGATGTTTTACATGGGTCTAGAATATTTAAAAATTTGGCATTTTTTCTTTTCCTATTACATATTTTATAATGTAGCAGTATTAAAGATATTATTAGACCTTCCTTATTGAAGATTGTCAACCCCATCATGGTTTTGTGAGATCATATGCAAAAGGTCTTTGTAAATTCTAAATTCTGAAAAAATATTTAATACTGAATGATAAACTTGTTACAGTTTATTTATTATTAATTAAAGTTAACCAGTCATGATTAAAGGTAAGAAAGGTTCCTTGCAATATGTTTTTCATCTTTCTTGCCTCATTCACTGTGTCACTGACAGAGTTACACAAGAGTGCACACCATGGTGAAGCTCCCATTTGTGCTGCAGGGAGCGTCACCATGGTCACAAACAGGTCAACTCACCAAGGCAGAAGGAACACACACACACACACACACACACACACACACACACACACACACACACACACACACAATTATTTTTATGACTGCATCCATATAAATGTTGTGAGTCCATTTCAAACTATTTGGTAAATACACTCTTACTAGACACTTCCATGTTCTTTCAGTAATAAAGCTGGAGACTCAGATTTACCCCCTTAGCAAAAGAACCTTCACTGTCAGTTGTGTTGACTTGTGATTTCATCCTCTGGAGGCAGTAGCAGTACCAGAACAGTCACTGGGTTCTAGAAACTGTAAGATTCTCCTAACTCAAGCAGGGCTTCCTGGGGTTCCAGAACCCTACATGAAATAAGGAGACCCCCAACCATTAACCAGCAGATAACCAGCATTGTAAGCTGCTGATTGAACTTCAAATCTTCTGGAGAAGAATCAATACAGAATAATGGATTATTTATTCAAGATTCCCACCATACCTGGGGGCTGTTTGCAAACTAAATCAACTTTAGTTTCCCTGAAGCATCTGTCCTGTTTTCTGTTGAGGGAGTCCAGACTTTTTCTGAGGGCCTCAAACTCTATGGACTTATTATTTTTCAACATTTCTTCCCTTAAGTTGCTGTCATTTTTCATGGTGCTGAATTCTTGATGGAGATTCTTTAGAGTTTTCTTCAATTCATGATTTTCTTGATTACACTGAAAAACTAAAATTAGTAACAGATATAACACCAAAAATGCTCATAAGGGGCAAATATTGAAATTTAAGATAACAGAGAAAGCCCATGTTGCCAACCAACACATATCATTACTTTAACTGGTACTTTGGCATTTAGACAGTAACACCTCAATTAACTTACTATAGGAATGGAAACATGAATTTCTCTCTTTCAGGGTAACTTTAATGTAAACAATACAGCTGAATAAAATTATGGTGGAGATACCACAATTCCAATTATTTTCACATTCCAAAACTTGCATATAAGTAGCTAAGGAAAGTATTCAGTGAATACTTGACACAGCATGAAAAGGTGAACTAAGAAACATCAAGAAATGGCACAATTCTCATTGTACCAGAGGGAAAGCAAAATATCCATATGTGTAGCCATGTCTTAGCACAGCCGGGGAGTGATTTCCTCTAGAGATCTGAAGAAATGCAATAAAGCTTTAATGTCTGCACAGATGAAGTCTCTTCACTTAACCATGTCTTCAATACACACAGAGGAAAGTGAAAAGAACATCATCATTTCTTTTGCACAGCTCTTTTTCACAGAATGTTTACCTAATGTTCCCAATCACCTGAGCTCAGAAGGCAGACTATCACCGAGTCCTTAGAAGGAACATTACCAAGAATGAGACAAACAAGGCAGTGCCCACAGCCCCAGAGTTAATATAGTAAGTATTGTGAGAACAGTACACTCTACTGTGTCAGTCAAAATATATGAAGTCCAGAGCTATCTGACACACATGATTATAGGAGGACAATGGATTGTGTGAACTACATAATTGGTATCTAAAGAAATTGCTTAGGCAGAAAGGCAAAAACATGTACTCCAGTTACTCACTGTGTATCACCAACACTGCAACAGCCACCAGCAGAATGGCAGAAAGAATTCCAAGAGCTTTGGCAATGAAGTGACAGGGAACTGAACACTCTTAAATAATAATATAAAAAAACAATAAAATAATCACCATGAAAAGAGCACATTCCACTAGTAATTATAATTTTGCATAACATGGAAATAAAGGAATATTTGTTTCTAAAAATTTTATGGAAGTCCATCATACAAGCTGACTCTACAGGTGCTTTCAGAATTGTAGATTTCTACCTAAAATGGACCCAATACAGAAATGTGTGGTTTCACAATATTTCAACATTTTTTCACCTTTGGCCTTGTAGTCTCAATTTTCCTGTCTCAGCCTAGAAGTAGCTGGATACGGGCACATGCTCCTCACCCAGTTCTATAGGATCAAATATGCATTCTTCAGAAAGCACTGGAGGCACAGACACAGTCTAAGTAGAAGACTCCAAACTAGACCATAAAGTCCACCAAGAGAGCCTAACTGAGCAAGAAGAGGAAGGAAAGAGGGGTGGATACTCTTCAGAATTTGGGGAACCATGGTTGTTCTGGAGCTGATCTGTTCATAGCCCCATCCTAAAGGGACCTAAAGTCAATCTCTTTTTTTCCCATAAGTTTTAGACAATACTAAACAACTTGTTGTGTATCTGAAGTATGTGGAATCTGAACGTCATGCCTCTGTTATCACTACATCAAAGAAGTTAGATGAACTATGACAGTGTTTGCA